TATATATATATATATATGGCTATGGATTAGCATTAACATATATGGAATTGTGCGACGGTACAGTCGTAAGTAGCCGTAACAATAAGCGCAAAGTTGTAATTACGTAATCTTTTTTGTAATGATTTCGAGTCCGAATCGTTTCGCGTGGAATATAGAATAGATAGACTTCTTTCTTTTCTTATGATTCGTAGCAACGTCGTGCGTACGAATGCGAATGCAAATTAAAATACTTTGCTTCTACGTACGTGTGTGTTGTTTTGCGACGAACAAACGTACGTACGTACGTACGTACGTACGTACGAACGTATTGGGAAAATGTTGCAAAGGCACGACGTGAAAAATACGAACGAGTATCGTTCGTACGAAAAAATATAAAAATTTTATTTCCAATAATTTTAATCTTAATAAATCTTACGTTGTAATGTTCTCTCGTCCACGCGTGTGTATAAATTCGCGTCTTATTCGTCCTTGTTGTCTTACAGATTTTCAAGGGCACGAGAATTGTTCGTGCAACGTTTTGTGGATTCTTTCTGCTTTTCGTATCCCAATACCAGGACAAAGAGCCAGTGTATTCGGTGGCGCTTCTATCAGTTCGCTCAACGTACCGAACGTGGACAAAAGAGTCGTGGCGTCCGTTTTGTTGACCGATCGAATTGTTGTCAAAGCGTTCGTCAACTGAGATAAGGAAGAGAAACGAGTTCAATTCTCCGATTAATTATGATACTACGCGTGATGCTGTTGCGCGTGCGTGTGTACCTTTTGATACGGTGCTGTATCGCTGCGCTCCATAATCGCATCGGGCGATTTATTTTCATAAATCTTGTACGTTTCGATAATTTTGCCTGCGTCCTCTGCGCTCCATGCCAATATTAACGTTAAATCGGCAAGAATGCAAATTCTTGTCAAATGCTTCAGAGCGTGATGAGGCTCTGGCACGTCTACCTGCCGTATTTGCACATTCGTGGTGGTACGATCTCTTGCTATCGCGTACGTGTAATGCTACGAAACGAATTGAAACGAACCTGTACTAAAAGCACTCTCAAGTTGTACCTGTGTTCCAACGCCTTCAAACGTTCGTGGATGTAGTCGGGATTAAGTTGATGATAACGCATGGATAGAAAAAGGGCACAAGTAGTCTTTCCCATAACGTAATCTGGCACGATTTCGCGATATTCCCAAGGGACGTTGGTTACAAACTTTAACAATGGATTTCCTTTCTGAAATTGAATCAAACGTATGTAAAGAGCTCGGACACGGCGTGTCGTTGAACGATGAAAGATCTTGCATCGTATCGTACTTGTTTCAAATTCACTGATAGCGTGTTAAATTTCGAGGAATCCGTGGCTTTGGAGGGCCCGGCTACCGGTTCGTTGAAAAATTCCGATTTCCTTGACTCGCCAACTGCGTCTGAGCGAGGAAATATTCCTTTTCGAGATATAATTAGATTTGTATCGTTTGATACGACCGATACGATGATACGTAAAAATAACTCACCTTGCAAAGAATCAATTTTAGTTCGTTTGGACGGAGACGCTTCGTCGTCGACTTTATCTCCTTGTTCCATTGTTCGTATTTTTAAACGAGATCTGTTGTTCGTCGATTAAAAAGTCCCGAAGGATATATCGCGACGTAACGTGTTACACGTTGCGTGACAAAGATGATCGAACGTGGATACGTTTGTAGGTTAGAATCGATGGTTAGGACGAACAAACGACGAAACGACGAAACGACAAAGATAAACCTTCGACGAACGTCGAATTGTACTGGATGCAAGAACGATCGCGTTAATAAACGAATCGTGTGTGTCGATGATGCGAGTCGAAATCGTTGTTAAAAAGAATCGTTCGATCGGTCGTGTGTCGTCTATTTACTACGAACGACGTCGTGTCGTATACGTCTGTCGCTCGTAACATTTTTCCATTGCAAATCTTTAAATCGCGCGTGCTAAATCGCCTTTAAATTGTTAACCTTTAAATTCTTAACGTGCTATTTAAATTGTTAACGTGCATGTACGAACTGCAAAGACGAGTAACGGTACTTTTTATTTTCCCATCTTGGCAACACTGACGATTGATAACATTTGACGACATGTTAATTCGGTGTATTTTTCTACTGAATCAACCGAGTCGCTATTTCGATCGTGCATCTTTGTCAACATGTTGGAATTAAAATGGGATGAATGTTGGTGCGTATTTTAGAACTGTTGGAGCGAGTTCGTCGATAACGAATCTTCGCAGATGTAACGAAAAGTTGACTTATCGACGAGACGTAACCTAAAATTTTTAAATGAACGAGGAAACGTCGGAGATCAAAAGTGCCAAACGTACTTCTTGGAAGGATGTCGGCGTATCGGATCCACGAGCACGGTTGAAGTCTCTCTCCGATTATGCTTCCATGGTAGAACTGGACCGTAACATTCCACCTCAAAGGTAATGTTCGATTGAAATATCTTGTTGAAATAATCGTTTCGCGCATCGCCGTTGCAAGCTGTCGAAAGATAGACTTTCCAGTTCGTTTCGCGATCGATGACGCTCGTGTTAATAATCTCTTTCGTCATTTTCAGATATTATCGCTCCGGCGTAGAGATGATCAGGATGGCAGATATGTGCATGAAAGACAACGATCTCGAATACGCGTATATTTTATATGTCAAATTCATAACGTAAGATCGGTGGCTTTGGCTGCACCTTCGCGCACGGTGTGATCCGCGGGATGTTCGTCTTTCGATTTAACTTTGTGCGAAAACGTCTTGTTGTAGGATTTTTGTTGAAAAAATAAGAAATCATCCGCAGTTTAATACGGTACCGTTGAAGGATAAGGAACATAATCAACAAACATTGCGCAAAGTACTTCCCAAGGCTGAAGAGTTGAAGAAACAATTACTGGAACAATATCGGACAGAGTATAACAAGTATCTGGAAGATATAAAGGAGAGAGAAAAAATTGAAAAGGAAAGGCTGAAACAGGAAGAACTGAAAAAGTAATAATAACTTTGTAATATTTTACGTAATGTCACGCGGGGTGAGTCGTGCGAGTCTCGACTAGAACCGAGTGCGTACGGCGAAGGAAGAACAAAAATAAGCAATGAAGATGACTTTTTTTTGACGATCGACGGATATCTCGATATTTCAATCTGTTGGTAATCACGCACGTTGTCGAATATTTTTTAACTTGTACGAACCGTTTGGCAAGCGTTTATCTTGCGGTGAAAGAAAGAACCGAACCACCGAACCGGTGGATTTTGGTTCGATGCTTCTTTTATATCGGGTAACAACGACGAACCTGATACGTAGTGAGAACGTGCGATTGACAATTTGGTATAATTGACAATTTCGAGAATACCGTTGGCTTCTAACTTGAATGACTCGTCCCTTGTAACGTGTATGCTTACACAATGTGTGTGTGTGTGTGTGTGTGTGTGTGTGTGTGTGTGTGTGTGTGTGTGTAAACCAGACTGCGTGTTCGCCGTAAAATGCATTCGTTTCCCTTTAACAATTGCGAATGCAATAACTGAAAGCAAGAATCCACCGATATAGAAAGACAAGGATATTTCGTTTGAAATATTCATTTCCAATTTCTTCGGGTATGAACCGGAGTGAGACCAGTATTGCAACCAATGCGGCAATTAAACGCGAAACGAGCAACAATTTCGCGTTCCCTTCGTCGAAACACAAGCGAATGAAAAAATATTTTTCAAACAGCCCATTATTCGCCGATATTCTTCCACTTAAATTCACCTCCTTACGAGACGCGTTAATGCATCCCGGTGGAACTTAATCGAACCTAATCTAATATCCGACCAACGTGGCTTCCAACAGTCCGTTAACACAGCCGAAAAAGTAGCTTTTAAATTACACGGCCCACATCCAGCCAGATCGAACTGTTAAACCACCCCCCGCAGTAGCCCATCGCGTCGGGCGAGCCGGGTTTTTGTCTGCAATTTTAATTTTAACGCGAGCCATTCACCGGCTAGCTCTCCGGCACGGCGGCGCACTTTAATCTCCCAGAAGAACGTCCATTGTGCCGTTCGTTCCTCCTCCGATTTTTTTCATTTTCTTTTTTCCTCCTCTGCTTCTGTGCCCGTTCGTCACGACAACAGTTCGGTGTATGGAATTTTCCACGCGCCGGCCGGCGACTTTCTACCGCGAGCAGGGCGAACGACGAGAGGGAACAGACGTGAACAAATTTGATTGGAGATAAAGGACAAAAAATACAAACAGTTAGAAAATAATGTATCATGAACTGGAGAAAGTAACTTCACTTTGTGTCAAAGTCAAGGGAATCTTTTGGAAGTAATCTTTCGTTTGAAATAATAATTCGCCGGACTGCCGACTGTTTGTGAGAGTTTGTGTGTGAACGTGTGTTTTGCGAACGTAACTAAGAAGAAATTTGAAATAAAGTAGTCTACATACCCGGAAGGAATAAAAATCTGCTATATATCATGGTAGATTTTTTACTTTGAATATTTTATAAATATTATTATGTATTTAATATACATTTTTAACATTTTATATACTATTACACATAAGAGGCTTTTTATAGATTTCTGAAATCCTTCAATTCCCAATAATAAAGCACATTCACGATCTAAAAATAAGAAATGATCATGGCGCAAGATAAATTTGAAAAATTATTAACATGTAATATACAGCATAGATCATTACACTATTATATACCACCTAAATATCATCTTTGTTTTCGGAGAAAAAAACATATGAAGAAAAAACTTTATTAACTTTATTAACAGAGAAAATAGAATTATATATCTTGTGTTTCATTAATCAATGTAGCTCGACACTTCTCATAACACGATATGATAGAATATATTTACAAACAACATGAAATAAAAAATTGTTTTGCTTGACAGAAAAATAAACCACTACAAGATTATTCGATAATATCGAATTAAATAAGATGATATACAAGCAGGCACAAATAAACAGGAGAAAGTGATGAAAAGTGAAGAATTGTTTCATTTGACAACAAAACAACTTCGAGCGAACTACTGCTAAGATTATTCGAGAATAGTATCGAGTTAAAGATGCACTGTTTAAATGGATATTATTTCTCGAATATTTCACTCGAACAATGCTGAAGCTCAGTGGCGACGGGCGAAAGAAAAGAGGACGGCCGCGTTTCGCGGTCATATCCCTTATCTCTACCGTCCGCTCGCTTGAATTAAACACTTTTGCTTTTTACGCGAACCGCCTTGTCTCATCCGCCTTTGTTTTCCAACGTTGTAACACCGCCGTGTGACGCCGCGCTTTGCTCGCGGTTCGTTCGAGTTTCAGTTGGAACTCGGTCGCCGCCGGTTCTTCTGGAACCAGAAACGCGGCAAGAGGAGATGCTTTTGAGCGCGTGCGACGCATTCAAAAGACCCGCAAAAGTCGAAGCTTCGTTAATGCCGCGGCCTCATCTTCTCTCCGTGATTACTCGTCGCTGCCGTCTGGCCGTTTCGTGCGCGTTTTCACGGCCTGTTCGCGAATCGCGAGAATGCCCAAGAGAAGAGAGCGGAAAGGGGGGGAGAGCCATCTTTAAGTAATGA